CAGTTCGAAACGCGCCCTCCAATGGAATCGCCACGGGCGGTGGCAGGGGCGGGCCGACCTGGCGCCCAAGCACGTCTCGGCTCCGTCAAGCCAAATCGCGGCTCGGGATAGACCCCGACGCATGATCCCATCTGCCCAATCTGCAACGTCGCGGGGGTCGCCCTCTACAGTCAAAAAAACTGGCCGGACAAGAAACGGGACCCGACAGGCGGGTGCCTCATTGACCATCTGGGCACTCCCGATCAACCCTGATCGGCCTGAACAAAGCATGCCCGTGCCACTGAATGGCGAATGCGGGCATTGCCAAACAACGGCGAGCGGCCACCATGAACGCGACGACGCTGCGCGAAATGAGGTTATCAGCGATTCTGCGTAGAAACCACCATCGTCCGCCCTGCCCTGTGCCCAACCGTCACCATCACCATCACTCGCAGAGGGCGGTGCCGATGATGCTGCTGCAGCAGCACCATCGGCAGCAATCGTATGTGAGAGTACCCGTCCTTGTCGCCCCTCCCTTCACTCATGCATTCTTGTTCACTTGTTTGCCATTCCAGATTCGCTGAGAGGGTTGAACGGGGAAGTTGCTTGCTGAAGCTGCAGATCTAATGATGAACTCCAATATCCGCTGGGCCACCAACGCCGCGAACACCCAGAGGAGATGAGGATGATGAGCAGGGTTGGGGGAGAAGATAAGGGGCACGAGGAGGATCAACATGATGAGAACGGCGAAAATAATGAGCAGCAAGAGCCAGATGAACAGGAATATCGGGATGGAACGAGGGACGAGGCGACGGATGCAACGAATGAGAAGGAGAGAAGGTGACGACAAAGGACGAAGAGAACGGATAATACCTTCAATGGGGTCCTCATGACAAGACACTCCTGCCGTTCTGGTACCCTTATGGAGGCCTCCCGAGACTCTTCAATCAATGGATGGGGCTCTCCATAGCACATGAATTAAGAAATCTTGTTTTTCCCAACTGGGGTCAGGCTGAATCCCTGATAGGCCCTTCTGAGTCCCATCAGGTACTCAGGAGGACCCGTCAGGGATTCAGGAGGGCCAGTCAGGGATTCAAGATGGCCCCTTGAATGTTTTCCGGAGGTTGGGGGGTGAGTCCGACGTGAAACGGAGACCCACCCCTACCAGGAAATCGATTTCGATTTCGGGTTCGTGTCGTGCGTGCCGTGCGCGCGTGCGGGCGAGGCGAATCTGCGTGGGCGGGCGAAAAGAAATCCTCCTGTGGCTGGGCCGCGGCCGGCCCTAATGTTGGGCGCCCGAGTTATCCGGGGTAACTCTGGTCCGGGGTAACTCGGGTTTGGGTTCCCGAAAAACGAACCCGAGTTAGCCCTGACCCGAGTTACCCCTGATGATTCGGGGCTCTGGACGCCCGAGATATCCGGGGTAACTCGGGTCCGGGGTAACTCGGGCTTGGATTCCCGAAAAACGAACCCGAGTTATCCCTGACCCGAGTTACCCCTGATGATTCGGGGCTCTGGACGCCCGAGTTGTCCGGGGTAACTCGGGTCCGGGGTAACTCGGGCTTGGATTTCCGAAAAACGAACCCGAGTTATCCCTGACCCGAGTTACCCCTGATGATTCGGGGCTCTGAAAATGTTTCTCCTCTGGCGGCCGGTGGCCCGCGGTGTCCCGCCGGTGTGCCGCTGGTGTCCCGAAGTCCTCCTGTGGCTGGGCCGCGGCCGGCCCCAAGTGTTGGCGGCCGCGGTGGGCCGCCGTGTCCCGCCGGCGTCCCGCCGGCGTCCCGCTGGTGTCCCGAAATCCTCCTGTGGGCCGCGGCCGGACCAAATGATGCTCCTCCCGTCAAACGGTGGCCCGCGGTGTCCCGCTGGTGTCCCGCCGGTGTCCCGCCGTGGATTGTGCATTTCAAAAGATCGCCGCTTGCGGCGAGCCATCCATTGCAAGTCTGCATGCAAACCGACATGCACACCGAAAAGCACATCGAAATGCAAATCGATTTGCACATCCAAATGCTAATCGTAAGGCGCCGTGGGCGCCGCGGCAATCTTTCCAATGCACGTCGACATGCAAATCGAACATAACATCGAAATGCATATCGATACCTATACGACCGCCCTTCGGGTGATAAGGAGGTTCGGGGGGGGGAGGAACCAACGTCTCACTCGATCGGTCTCATTATCGATCTCACTGTCGATCTCACTATCGGTCTCCCTCGATCGATCTCACTCGATCGATCGATCTCACAATCGATCTCACTCGATCTATTTTATTCGATCGATCTCACACTCGATCTGACTATCGATCTCACAATCGATCTCACGATCGATCTCACTATCGATCTCACAATCGATATCACATTCGGTCTCACTGTCGATCTCGCTATCGATATCACAGTGGATCTCACAATCAACGTCATCATCATGATCATCATCAACACCATCGTCATCAAAGTCATCAGCATCATCATCGTCATCATCATCATCATCACCATCACCATAATCGGGACACCATCATCATCATCATTATCATCATCATCATCATCATCATCATCATCATCATCATCATCATCACCATGATGATCATCATCATCTTCTTCATCATCATCATCATGACAAGATCATCATCATCATCATTAGCATCGGAACACCATCATCGTCATCAGCAGCATCATCATCAACATCATCATCAACATCAGCATCATCGGGGCACCATCACCATCATCATCAGCAACATCGTCAACAACATCACCATCATCATCATCATCATCATCATCATCATCATCATCATCATCATCATCGGGACATCATCATCATCATCGTCACCATCATCATCATCATCAGCATCATCATCGGGACACCATCATCAACATCAGCATCATCATCATTGGGCCACCATCATCAAGATCATCATCATCACCTCATCATCATCATCACCGGGACACCATCATCGTCATCATCATCACCATCATCATCATCATCATCATCGGTACACCATCATCATCACCATCATCAAAATCAACAGCATCATCATCATTCTCATCATCACCATCATCATCGGGACAGCATCGTCATCATCAACATCATCATCATCATTCTCATCATCATCATCATCATCATGATCATCATCATCATCATCATCATCATCATCATCATCATCATCATCTTCATCATCATCATCATCATCGTCATCATCATCATCGTCATCATCATCATCATCATCATCATCATCATCATCATCATCATCATCATCATCATCATCATCATCATCATCATCATCATCGGGACAACGACGGGACACCGGCGGGAAAGCAGCGGGACACCGCGCGCCACCGGCCCCCGGAGAGGAAACATTTGCTCCGGCCGCGCCTCGCTGGAGGCGGGACACCGGCGGGAGACCGCGCGCCACCGGCCCCCGGAGAGGAGACATTTGGTCTGGCCGCGCCTCTGCTGGAGGAGACTTTCTCGCCCGCCCACGCAACTTCGCCTCGCCCGCACGCACGGCACGCACGAACACGAAACCGAAATCGATTTCCTGGTAGGGGGGCTCTCCGTTCCACTTCGATCTCACCCCCCCACCTCCGATGCACATCCAAATGCAAATCGACAGGCACATCGTCATGCCGTATGCTGTGCCGCCGTTGTCGTAGTGAGATCGATAGTGAGATCGATAATGAGATCGACAAGTGTCCCGTGGTGTCCAGTGGTGTCCCGTTGAGTGAGATCGATCGTGAGATCGATTGAGTCAGACGTTGGTCCACCCCCTCTCCCCCCCTCACAACCTCCTCATCACCCGAAGGGTGATCGTATAGGTAGAGAACCGCTCAGCTGAGAAACGTATGTCTTCTGAGTACTTGGCAATGGAAGCTTTGAGTTGGAACAGGCGAGGAATAGGCGTATCTGTGATACTTCACAGACGCACAGAAGAGACTCACCTATATATCTCCAATGGGTTCAGCTGCTCTGGCTAAACACTTACCAATGGACTTAAGGCCTTATAGTTGACTCCTAAGGGACATAGCGAGACACTTAGACATGACTGAATCAAGTTGTTTACAAGACACCTCCGAGACAGTCAACAAGTCTGCGAAGTGATGGCAAGAACCCCGGACCACCCCAGGAAAGTCATAGCATCGACACAACACCTCCAGTCCCTGAGAGCCGACGTCTCGAGCAAAAATGAAGAATCGTCTCGAACAAAATCACGACAAGAGCCCTAGACCTTAATGGGCCCTGGAAACTACAAGGCCGATTTTTTACCGGTTCCGTTTTGCCGTTTTTTTGCTGGTTCCGACGCCGTTGTTGTACCGGTTCCGTCACCGTTTTTTGACCGGTTCCGGGTTCCAATCCTGGAGCCGTTTTCTTGCCGTTTCCGGTCGCCGTTTTTTTGCCGCTTCCATTTTCAAGAGCATTTTTTGGAAACGGTGAAAACGCGGCCCTGCCGTTTCCGGGGCCCACTAAGCCCTAGACCCCGTGTTTCTGCGCCACTGTTCGAGCCGCGTCGATCTGTGAAGGTCTGGGCCCCCCCGAGTCTGGGCGCCGAACAAAACAGGGCGCGCCAGGATCTCTTGGTGGTCTCCAAACCAAGTGGTGAGACACCCGGTGGTGACCCCGATTCCCCCCCGAAAAAATTCTGGGTCACCACCGGGTTTGGGGACACGCGGTCGCCACGAGGTTTTGCGTTTCCTGGGCCAGCCAGCGCTCGAAAACCATTACTCAAATCGCCCAAAACTCACCACCGGGTGTTCTCACCACCACGTTTGGGGACCACCAAATCTCATGGGGGATTCTTGCTGTGCGTGCTGCCTCCGGGGGCGGCCAAGAGGGGGGCGTCCAAGGGGGGGGTGGGGGGCGCAACTCTCGGCCCGCGGCGTGTGCGTGGGTCAGGGGGGGGGGGGGGGGGGCGGGGGGTAAGTAAGGAAACAAGAAGAGGCGACATGAAATCTGGGGAGATACCATGGCCCCCGCCATGATACCCCCCCCCTAATCATCATCCCCCTCTTGGCCGCCACCGATGCTTGCTCTGCTCCGATCCTCCGGGTCGATCCCCGGCATCAGCGGGCGCTGCAGGGCCATCTCCCCCGCGACGCACCCGAGGGACCAGACGTCCACCGCGCCGCTGTATCGCTGGGACCCCAGCAGCAGCTCCGGGGCCCTGTACCTAGGCGATCAACGCTCTATCCATACCGCTGCTCGCCCCTGCTCACGCCGAAACTCCAGGATGGGGGCGGAATCGGTGGGGGCTGCAGCGGAGGTGTGGATGGAACGTCGATCCCTCAGAGGAAAAAGAACCATGCACATACACCGATCCTGGCCAGGCCCATCCTGGGCCTTGCCAGGATCGGTGCATGTGCATGTTGGAGGCCTAGAAATGAGCACCAACACCAACACAGGGGGTTGCCTCCACATGGGCAAGACGATCCTAGATTTCGGTGTTGGTGGCAATAGCTCGGTCCCTTCGGAAGCCAGAAGATTACCAACATCGCCGAGATCGGGATCTTCTTCCCTCGGTAGCTGCACACCGCCGATACTGGTGTTGGTGTCAATCTCTGGGCCTGCGACGCATAGTTCCTCACGTTCTCCTCCTCCTCCTCCCCCTGCTCCTCCTCCTCCTCCTCCTCCTCCTCCTCCTCCTCCTCCTCCTCCTCCTCCTCCACCCGATCCCTGGAGCACCAGCGCATCCCCACGTACTCCGTGAGGCCCCTCGGGTAGGGCCCGACGGCCGGGCGCGCCGACGAGGAGCGGGGGGCGCCCGGGAGCCGCGGGGGCGGCGGGCGCCTCACGGCCCGGGGCGTGCGCGCGGACCAAAAGGGGCGCGGGGGCACGGCACGTCTCGAAAGAAGACGGGGACGAAGGAGAATACGTAGAAGAAGCAGAAGGAGGAGGAGAGGAAGAGGAATACTACGAATAATAAGAAGAAGAACGCTAAGAAGAAGAAACAGAAGAAGGGGCCACGAGAGCTGGGAGACCCCACGGCCCTGTAAAACGACGCGAAGATCGGGACAAAATCGGATCGGGATAACTTGAAATCTCTGAGAATCGGCGGGTTTGGAGGATGTATTGGGCGCCGCGGCCGCTCCAGAGCGTTTTATCCTGATCCTAGCCCTGCTTTACCCTGGCCACGGCATCCACACGCCCCGAGCCTCGGAGGCGCGCGAGACGAGACGGCGGCGGCTCTCCGCCCGGCCGGGAGACCCGGTCCAGGTCGGAGCCCGGCCTTCCTCCTGGCCACGAGGCTCGCTCTGGCGTGTTTCTCGGGGCGGGCTCGGCCAGTCGTGGCGAGGAGAAGCTTCCGAAGGGCACCGAAAGGGGCGCAGGAACACACTGAAAGCAGACGAAGAAGGAGAAGAAGCATAACGAAACGTAGCCTGGCCAAATACCCAACCGCATGCAGTCGTGATTGCCGCGGTTGTGAGTGTCGTCTTCGGGGGTGCTCCGCATGGGGGCACGAAGCGTGTAAGGGATGCGACTGAATGGGGGGGGAAACCGCATGCGAACCTTGCCGGTGGGGCCTTCGGTGAAGCTCCCTATGGGGCCACGAAGCGTGCAAGGGGTGTACCGAAATTAGGGGTAGAACCGCATGCGAACCGTTGCATGCTCATTCTGGGGACCTTCCTGGAGCCACTCGCTCCACTCGTGCGTCGAAACTGCGTCGAACCTGAGTCGAATCTGCGTCGAACCTGCGTCGAACCTGGGTCGAACCTGAGTCGAATCTGAGTCGAATCTGAGTCAGACTTGAGCCGAACCTGAGTGGAACAGATCTGTTCGGTAGGCCCCAGAAAGGTCCCCAAACCCAAACCCCCGACGTCATGATTTTTTCATGACATCGACCCCCAGAGATCTCGACCCATTCCCCGGGCCCGTTTTTTCATCCTGAATCGTTTTTTGACGCTCCCGAGGCCTGGTGAAGGCCCCCGGAGGCCGAAAATTAAGGAAAACCGCCCGTCGTGATTGTTTCATTGCTCGAGGGGGTCTGGGAAACGAGCATCGAAGACGCGTGCCGCTCGGGCCTTCCGCTGAAGGCGGCCCAAGCCGCCCCGACACCCACCACATCACTGGAGGGAAATTAGGACACACAAATAAATACACACAACTAAAAATAGTCCCCATATTTTCACATATTTTCTGGGTTTTTGTCTTCCAACCCACTTCCCATATTTTCCCATATTTTCCTGGGAATCGACGATTAATTGTGTCTGTGTGTTTCTTTTCCTCCTGAATCACGCTTGACAGGTGCAGAGCTTCCCTCTACAGAGCCTTTGACCCGACGACCGTCGTCGGCCGCCGTGTGCCCCACGAGAGGCCCACCGTCCACGTGCAGAGACCGCAGCCTCCGGAGGCCAGATACAAAAATACTACGAGACCTAGGAGAGAGAGAGAGAGAGAGAGCGCGCCTAGGAGAGAGAAACATACTACGAAACCTAAGAGAGAGAGAGAGAGAGAGAAAAAAAAAAAAAAAAAAAAAAAAAAAAAAAAAAAAAAAACCTAGGAGAGAGAGAGAGAGAGAGCGCGCCCACAGCGCCGGAGTAAACGGGGGGGGTCCCCCCTTAGCTGCCCCCCCCTCCCTTCCGCCTCCCCTGCTGAAGCTGGAGACTCCCCCCCCCCCTCCCCCCCTTTTTCGCCTCCCCCCTGAAGCTACCCCCCCTCCCCCTCTTTCGCCACTCCGAAGCTACTGAAGGGGCCCTGGGACACACAAATAAATACACTAAATAAAATCATGCCCCATATTTTCCCATATGTTCTGTATTTCTGTCTTCCCCCACACTTCCCATATTTTCCCATATTTTCTGGAGAATCGACAATGAATTGTGTCTGTGTGTTTCTTTCCCTCCTGAGCTAAGCCCCCCCCCCCTTTCCAAAAGGGAGGCGGAGGGCTTGGCTACCACCTCCCCCTTCCCTTGACCTCCTTCTGCCGGAGGCTAACCCCCCTCCTCCCCATTTGGTTCCGAAGGGAGGGGGGCTTCGCAGCCCCCCCCCCTCCCCCCCTTACGGCACCCGGGGAAGCTACCCCCCCCCCCCCTTACGAAAGGGGAGGAGAGCTTAGCTACCCCCCCCCTCCTTTGACCCCCCTCTGCCGGAAGCCCCCCCCCGCCTTCCCTCCATGTTTCTCCCCCCTGCCGGAAGCTACCCTCCCCTCCCCCCCTTTCCAAAAGGGGAGGGGTGGCTTAGCTACCACCCCCCCCTTGAACGCCCCCAGGCAGACGATGCTCCCCCGTCGCCGTCGTCGTTGCCGTCGCCGTCGCTCGACGTCTTCGTACGACGCCGTCGTCGTCCTCGTCGTCGTCGTCGACGCCATCGCCCTCATTATGACCTCGTCGTGGTCGTCGCGACGAGGACGAGGTCATACGAAAACGGCGACGGACGACGGATGACGCACGACCGACGACCGACGACGACGACGACCCAGGATCAGAAAAAACAAGACCACGACCCAGCGGCTGAGAAAACGAGGAAACGAAGCAGGGTCCGAGAAAACGCGACCACGGCTCAGTGGCCGAGAAAACGAGAAAACGTACCAGGCTCAGAAGAAAACGAATCAGGGTCCGAGAAAACGAGACCACGACCCAGGGGCAGAGAAAACGCGACAACGAACCAGGGTCAGAGAAAACGAGACCACGACCCAGGGGCCGAGACAACGAGACAACGAGAAAACAAACGAGTGCCCGAGAAAACGAAACCACGACCCAAGGACCAAGAAAACATAGACAACGAGAAAACGAACCAGGGCCAGAGACAGCGAAACCACGAACCAAGGGCCGAGAAAACGAGTAAACGAAAAAGGGCCCGAGAAAACGACACAAACGCCCAAGGGCCGAGAAAACGAGAAAACGAAACAATGAACCATGGTCAGAGAAAACGTGATGACGACCCAGGGGCGGAGAACACGAGAAAACGAGAAAACGAACCAAGGTCCGAGCAAACGAGACCACGACCCAAGGGCCGAGAAAACGCGAATATCGGTCCGAGACAGCGAGGCCGCGACCCAGGGACCGAGAAAACAAGCAAACGAACTAATTAGGGTCCGAGAAAGCGAGACTACGACCCAGGGGCGAGAAACTGAGAAAACGACAAAACGAACCAGCGTCGGAGAAAACGAGACCACAGCCCAAGGGACAAGACAACAAGAAATTGAAAAAACGATCCAGGGTCCGAGAACACAGGACCACGACCCAGAAGCCGAGAAAACAAGAAACGAGGACACGAACGATCCAGGGTCAGAGAAAACGAGACCCCGACCCAGGAACAGAGAAAACGAGAAAGCGGGACAACGAACCAGGGGCAGAGAACACAAAACCACGACTCAGGGGGCGAGACAACAGGAAAACAAGACAACTAAACCACGTCCGAGAAAACCAAACCACGACCCAGGGGCAGAGAAAACGAGAAACGAATCAGAGCCCGAGAAACCAGACTACGACCCAGGGGCCGAGCAAACGAGACAACGAAACGGGGTCCGAGAAAACGAGACCACGACCGAGGGGCCGAGAAATCGCGAAACCGATAGACAAAACTGGACCACGACCCAGGAGCCGAGAAAGCACGAGAACGAGAACACGAACCAAGGTTCGAGAAAACAAGACCACCACCCAGGGGACGGTAAAACCAGACACCAAGACGACAACTCAGGGTCAGAGAACCCGAGACCACGATCCAGGGGCCGAGACAACAACACAACAATCCAGGGGCCGAGACACGAAGAACACGATGAACCGAGAAAGGGCCCGAGAAAACGGGACCATGATCCAGGGGCCAGGACAACAAAACACGAACCAGGGTCAGAGAAAACGAGACCACGACCCAGGAGCCGAGAACACGAGAAACCGATAAGACGAACCAAGGAGCGAAACAACAACATGAGACCACGACCCAGGGGCCGAGAACACGCGAAAACGAGACCACGATCCAAGGGCCGAGAACACGACACAGAAACCCACAGCCGAGAAAACGAGAAAACGAGAAGCCGAAACAGGGTCAGAGAAAACGAGACCACGACCCAGGGGGCGTTACAATAAACCAAAAAACAACGAATCAGGGTCAGAGAAACCGAGACCACGACCCAAAGGCCGAGAAACCGAGACAACGAGACCACGACCCAAGGGCCGAGAAAACGAGACAAACACACAGGGGCCGAGAACAAGAGAAAACAAGAAAACACACCAAAGCCCGAGCTAACGAGACCACGACCCAACAGTAAATAAAACCAGAAAACGTGCAACGAACCTGGGCCCGAGAAAACGAGACTACGACCCATGAGCCGAGAAAACTAGAACACTATAAAACAAACCAACGTCCGAAAAACAACTAGACAACGACCCAGGGGCAGAGAAAACGAGAAAACTAGAAAACAAACCAGGGTCAGAGAAAACAAAACCACAATCCAAGGGCCGAGAACCGAAGAATACGATAAACCGAGTAAAGGCCCGAGAAAACGGGACCATGATCCAGTGGCCGAGAAAACAAAAAAACGAACCAGGGCCAGAGAAAACGAGACTACGACCCAGGGGCCGAGAAAACGAGACAACGATAATAGTAACCAGGGAACGAGGAAACATGAGACACCGACCCAGGGGCCGAGAAACCAAGAAAACGAAACCACGAATCAAGGCCCGAGGCAACAAACCAAAAACCAAGAAGTCGAGAAAACCAAACAACGGGACAACGAACCAGGGTCAGAGAAAACGAGGCCACGACCCAGGGGCCGAGACAACGAGAAAACGAACCAAAGTCCGAGCAAACGAGACCACGACCCAAGGGCACAGAAAACGCGAAAACGAACC